CAGGATGTTGCATGCAATTTTAATTATTTATTTTCTTTCTCAGAATATATTCTTCTTCCCTAGCACTAACCTGGACGATATACAGGCAGGGGCAATACTGGGCTCCTCCACCTATACTAATTCCAATCAGATTCTGAGAGTCTTTCTTCAAGGTCACTGTTCCAGGTACTGTAGGAATCCCCCTAAAACAGAGATAAAAACACCAATACCTGCCAACTGCCCCTGCTTTCATCACAACAGAGATATAAATAATTGGAATCAAAATTGTGTCAGATGCTTATTTCTTAAACATCAAAGTTTAGATTAAAAAGACAAATGCAACAATGAAATACAATCTGAGAGTGAGATAGATGGTCTCTGAATTTGATAAATAAATATATAAAATGTGAACAATATCTTTGTTTATCTTGATTAAAACACGCAAATTATTTGCAGAAGCATAGCAAGAGCCAAAACATCTTGCATGATTAAACTGTGGTCTCTCGCTGATATTTTTTAGCCTCAAATTACCATCTTTAACTTCCAGCCAGCATGTCTTAGATTTTAAATTAGTTTCATGGCAACATAAAGCCAGATGCAAATTTACAAAATTCATTCCATTATTTTCCAGCACAGATTACTTGTTGCACCGAATTTACTTCTAGGACTTACTGTCTTCTTAAAAATAAAATCTGATTGTTTTTCTTGCAGGCATTAAAATTTGATCTTTTCAGACATGTATCACAAACTTCTCTTGTAATTTTGACAGTACATATCTATATCTATATTCTTATTGTAATTTATTATTTTCTCACTCAGTTCTCTCCAAATCTGTTGGATTCTGAATTCACAATCTGTATAATAAGACTGCCAGGAGAATATAAATTCAATCAAGTAAAAGCTGAAAAAGAGTAATCACCAGGGGTGAAATCTAAAATTTGTTACTACCGGTTCTGTGGGTGTGGCTTGGTGGTGGGGTAATGTGACTGGGTGGGCGTGGCCATTTTTTTTTAAACTTTTAAAACCATTTTTTCTACAACCTCTTCGGCTTTGAAAAGGCTCTGACGATCCCAGCTGAGTTGCCTGATCGGCAGATACTTTTTTTCTTTTAAATGCCTCTGACGATATGGCAACTCAGCTTGGATCATCAGAGGCATTTAAAAGAAAAAAAGGGGTTTTTTTCTTTTAAAAGCCTTTGATGATCCCAGCTGAGCCGCACGATCATCAGAGGCTTTTTTTTTTTTACTTTTAAAAGCATTTTTTCGGCCGAAGAGGTTGTAGAAAAAATGCTTTTAAAAGTAAAAAAAAAAGCCTCTGATGATTTTGTAGCTCAGCTGGGCATGGGGGGTGGGAGGGGGCAGAGATTTTTGCTACCGGTTCTTCGAACCACCCGCCTCCATCGCTACCGGATCAGGCGATCCTGTCCAAACCAATGCAAACTATATCCATAATTGCCTAGTTTACATGTTTCTTTTTAGACATTCAACCAAGGAAATACTGAAGATTTTGACTTGACTTCTATAGAATACTCTTTCCCAATCCAAGCTGGAGAAAAAGGTCTGTAAATGAATAAAGCGCCAGAATTAAGGCATTTTGATTTGATTCTAAATCTACTAGTCTTTGAGTGTGTTTTGCTATTTTTTTCTGAATTCTTGTTGCATCTTTTTTTTCATTTGAGAAATTATTGTTGTGTGCTTTCCAAACAATTCTAATTCCAGTTCTCCCCAAATCAAATACAAAGACACACATTACTAACAGAAAACAGGGAAAAAGAAAACTTACAGCTTGTCTTCCTCAATGTCATACTCCAGGTCTGCAAACATTGTTCTAAATTACTGATCACTTTGTGAAGAATCTGATTTTTCCACACTACCTAAATGGGAAAAAAAAGATCATCAATGGAGATTACTCATTTCCTCTTTTCATATGCTAATCAAAATCTTCGTTTTTGTGTTTGTAACTTCTACTGTATCTGTTGAACAATAAGAAAAACTGCCTCCTTTCTCAGGTTATTATCATTAAACAATCTATGAAGCTATTAATAAAATATGAAACATATCACAAATAATGTAAAGGCCTAGTTTCTAACTTTAAAATGTTTACAGCTAAAAGAGTATAAATTATAACAGATGCTATATCTCAGTACTACCAAGCTTTATTTCTCAAGTCCAGTCTTCAAGTAATGATTCTGTTTGGGTGATATCTGACATCATTAAGCAAATCACTGTGATCATTAAGCAAATCTAAAGTCATTAAGTGAATTCCACACTGGCAAATATGAATCCATTCTTCCCAAATGAGTGTTTTTGCCATAAACCAGCAAAAAAAACTCACAAATCATGCTCAGATGACTGAAGGAGCTGCAACTAGTTGTAAAGACTAGCCTGTGGTCAAGTACCCAAATTGTGATCATGCCAGGCAGTTGTGGCATGACAACTTTACAATTGCTAGAAGTGCTTTATGGTCCATAAAGCTTGGTACACAGGTAGTCCTCAACTTAGGACCATGTAATGATGGTTCAAAGTTATGACAGTCTCAGGAAAAGTGATTTGTCCTCAAAGTTATAATTGTCAACTACCCTTCTGGTCTCACAATTGCAATTTGGACGCTATATAGCCAACTCACATTCACGAGTAGCTGCAGGATCCTATTATCACATGATCACAATTTGTGATTTTCCAGCAGTTTCCAACAAGCAACATCAATTGGGGAAGTCAGACTACATGATTTTCTTAACCACTATGGTAAAAATGGTAATAAAATTGGGTCCAATCATGTGATGACTCATTTAATGATATCACTTAGCAGCCAAAATTCTGATCCTAATTGGGGTTATAAATATATCAAATATTTTTCTCAGATAAAGCATCAGACTAAAAATACCAACATTATTTTAAATCAGATTCACTAGTCCAGTGATGGCTAACCTTTTTGCCATTGCGTGCCAAAAGCGGGGGTAGTGGGGGGGGGATTGCGCACGCATGTGCCCACACCCATAATTCAATGTGCCTCATCCCTCCACACATGCACGTTTGACCCCCCAGGTTTCCCCCTGCTTTTGGCACGTGATGGCATGATGGGCCCGATAGGCCCATTTTTTTGCCCTCCCCAGGCTCCAGAGCCTTTCTATGAGCCCGGGGAAGGCGAAAACAGCCTTCCCCATCCCCCCGGAGGCCCTCCGGAGGCCTGGAAACAGCCCATTTCCCGACTTCCAGTGGGCCCGGAAGGCCCAAAAATCAGCTGGCCACCGCACACATGCGTGCTGGACTGAGGTAGGGCAACGCTCACGTGCCCACAGATATGGCTCCGTGTGCCACCTGTGGCACCCGTGCCATAGGTTCGCCATCATGGCACTAGTCTATCTAACTCTGTACTGTCTGGTCTGGCTGGCAGTACTACCCAATCTCAAGCAGTCCAGATTTCCCAGTCCTGCTTCTTGACTTTTCAATTGAAAACTACTTCGAGCAGAGCTGTCAAAGCTTAAACCACCTTTTAGCTATCATTATTTGTGCTAGCTACCGAACAAGTAACTCTTTTTTTAAAGATAAATGCATAATATCTACAGCAATTAGGTATTAGGTATGTGCATTCTCAAAAATCCATGTGATTTGTATTGACCAAAACCTGCTACACAAGTTCCAGTTGGTTAACTGTTGATCTTTGACAACTGTTCTCTCTTCTCTTCCTATTTTGCCATTTCTTGGAAACATCATTATGACCTGTACCTTGGAAAGTCTAAGAGTTTTTTTTTTTTAAAGGCCTTTTAAAAGTTTGCTATTAATTGCTTTCAATATCCACTAGATATGTAAATACAAACTGGTGCTAAAGCTTCTTTCTGAGGGTGCAAAGAGTCACCTATTTTCAGAAGACGACAAAACTGGTATCATAGTTAGAATGTGATGTAGTGGTTAAGGTGTTAAGGATTAGAGCTGGAGAGATTCTGGTTCCTTCACAGCCACAAATACTCATTGGATAACTTTGAGCCAGTTGCTCTAACCTACTTCAAGGAGTTTTCAAGCAGAGAAAAATTGGAAGAGGCAGAGCCAGTGGTGGGATTCAGCCAGTTCGCACCATTTCGGGAGAACCAGTTGTTAACTTTCTGAGCAGTTTGGAAAACTGGTTGTTGGAAGAAATCATTAGGGCAGAGAACCGGTTGTTAAATTACTTGAATCCCACCACTGGGCGAGCTATATATCCCACCCTGAGCTTCTTGATGAAAGACATACATCTAATAAACAATTGTTAGTTTTGAGGACCGGAAAAGTTGAACTTAGCCACCAGGCTGCAAAACTGACTTGGGCTGAAAAATCACCTGCAGACAGACATGTTCGTTCATAGGGTAGGTTTTTTGCAAGGTATAGGTAATAAAAATGACCTATACCTTGCAAAAGTATAGGTAATAAAAAAGAATCCAGGCTGTCTCCCTCCCCCCCCATCTTTCTACCCCCACCCCACCCCACTCCCATTCAGCAAAGCAAAATGACATATAAAAATAAATAAACAAATTTATTTAAATAAAAGAACAAGCTGGGCACATTTTTTCCCCCCATTGGCAACCTTAGGCACTGGAGTCCCCTTGCATAGAGAAAGGACTCTGGACCAGAAACACTACCTGTTTTCAGTGGCTAACCTGGGGGGGTTTACTGGGTTTACTCCAATAGGGAACCCCTCTTGCCCCCAATCATCGCCCCTTCCCAGAGGAAGGACAACGCTCTCCCCAAGAGAAATGGAGCCAGTCAACCACTGCCTCACCGGAAGCCTCTGCCTCCAGCTCCGCGCCCACCTACCCGTTTTCTCTTCCCGTAAAAGCAGCGGGAACCGGGGAAGGGGGGGGGCGGTGTTTGTCTCCCACGTCACTGCCAAACCTGCCCGGAGCACCAACTTGCATAGATCCAGGAGGCTTTGAGTTAAGGAAGGTATAGGAAACACCGGGGGAGGGGGGGGGGTTAAATCACCTTAACAACGTCTCGCGATACTAAGCTTGTGCGATCTAGTGTTAGAAATGAGCCGCCTCGGTACGTAGTGTATGTAGTAAGATGCTCTCTTGACGTCACAAAAGCGGGGCGGGGGGAACCGAGGGAAGAAGTCTGGTTTCCTTAGTTAAGGTGCGAGCAGGTGGAAAGTGGAGCGCAGCGTTTTCAGCAAAACGGCAGAAGACTGGTTGTAGCAAAGGTTTTCACGGGTTGGGGTCTGTTCCAGAGGTACAAATTGGCAAGTGGCTTAAACACAAGTGAGGGAGGGTCCTTGGTGCTCTGCTCTCTGAACTTACTTGCTTCCTTCCTTGCAGACGTTTCATTACCCAAATTAGGTAACATCATCATTTCAACCCCGAGCTACAAGTATTGCCCCCCCTTGGTCCCGTTATTTCCTGCCAAAGGAAGATGGGAATTATTTTAAAAATGGGAATCATGCTTGCTGGGGAATTCTGGGACTTGGGAGTCCACAAGTTTTAAAGTTGCCAAGTTTAAGAAACGCTGTGACTTTTCAAGATACTAGGATGGGGAAAAAATCATACAGATGAAATATGCTAGCATTGGGAAGCTAATTAACATATGTGATTATTTATTTATTTATTTATTTATTTATTTATTTATTTAGTTAGTTAGTTAGTTAGTTAGTTAGTTAGTTAGTTAGTTAGTTAGTTAGTTAGTTAGTTAGTTAGTTAGTTAGTTAGTAAGTAAGTACCGGTATATGGCAATATTATACATGGACTAGCAATATATATTAACATTTAGTCTAAATTAGTAGAACCCAATAAAATATAAATGTTAAAATGATCCTAGACATTTGATATCTGTGATGAGATAAAAGGCAAATGTATTATTTTCTGTGTTCAGGTTCATTAACATTTAGGGCAGCTGAAAGCAAAGACCTCCTCCTTTATCTCTTCTTGCCTGTATTTCCTCACTTGGTTTAACACCGTAGCTAGGAAACTCAGAAGTTTGTTCATTAGGTTTTCTTCTAGTAGAAGCAGAAACATGGTCACGCTATGAGTTTAGGAATTTCCCCCCCCCCCCCATAATACTTCATGGCTCCTAGCAAATGACAAGACGTAATTATACAGCCCTGCTGGAATTTATGTACTGACAATATTAGCAAGTATACAACCAAGTGTGAGATATAGCTTGACAGAGAAAATATTGCATACATTTTTACCTCTGCAAAAGAATTCGAGTCTTAAAAGGGGGATTTGATTTAGGGAATCAAGAAGGAATCTTGTTGCATCATGTGCCATTTCCCCCCCCCCAGCTGCTGTTAAAATGTCTGAAGAACCAGGGGTCTTCTGACCTGACTCTTGACATGAAGAAGAGAGCCTTTCTTTTATTTAAAAATGTGTCTGTGTGGGACATGACTTTGTTAACAATTGCTTCTCTTTCCCTTGCTGCTTTAGGTTTTAACTGCACAGTTAAGTGACATGAATGGGAGTACTGATCAAAGCATCTGACAGTGAAGCCACCCATGTTGAATGGCAGCATGTCATGCGTAGGAAGGAGTTTGATGTTCATATATGTGAGACAAGTAATAGATTCTTGCAACTAATTGACTTATGGTGAAGGACCTATTATAAGCAACAGTACTGTGAGAGAATAACCATCATACATTACAACTATATCTGTTTTGTATGCAGAGTTACAAATTCAAGCTTTGATATCTTCTAGCAAAAAAAAAAAATCAGTGGCAGATGACGGGAGGGATCCCACCTGAAATCCAGATGATGCCTTGGAGCGCCTGCAAATCAGAGTAGACAATATTAGACTAAATGAATTAACCATTTCATTTGGAATAAAGTGTCATTACTTATCTAGACTGGCTAGTTGGAGATATTTTCTACAGGAAACGTTTTACTTGAATAGAAATCACTAGGTAAGAAACACTGAATGCAGAGGACCAAAAGAAATTGCTAAATCACATTTCTCTGATATCTAGCCCTTTATATCTAGAAATGAATGGGTCTTGGTAGTACAGTGGTCTCAGGCACCCTGTTATTAAGCTGGTTATTAAGACCAGCTGCCTGCAATTACTGCAGGTTCGAATCTCGCCAAGGCTCAAGGTTGACTCAGCCTTCCATCCTTTCTAAGGTAGGTAAATTGAGGACCCAGTTGTGGGGGCAATAAGCTGACTTTGTATAAAATATACAAAAGGATGAAGGCTATTGCTGAGCACATTGTAAGCTGCCCTGAGTCTCTGGAGAAGGGCGGCATATAAATCAAATAAAAAAAAAAATAAAGTATTTTCCCATCCAAGAATTATTTCTTTTATTGTTATAGCATTAAAAAATCCATCTTTGTTCTGAACATGCTAAATCCCAAATAATCAGTATATAATTCAGTACAATATAAAATACATATTTGAACCAGTTTGGTCTAGTAGTTAAAGCACCAGGTTAGAAAACGGGTGACTGTTAAGTTCAAGTCCCACCTTAGCCATGAAGGCCAGCTGTGTAACTTTGGGCCACTCATTCTCTCTCAGCCCAACCCACCTTATAGGGTGTTGTTGTAGGGAAAATAAGAGGAAGGTATGCTGGATATGTGCATCGCCTTGAGTTATTTATAAAAATAATAAAGGCGGGATACAAATAAATAAAAAAAATAAAATCACAGCTTTTTTCAATTTTATAAAAGTATAAAATTACTTGAAAAGGGGTGTAAGCAAGATTGTGAACATGCAGCCATTCCATTGCAGTTGAATTTTAAATTTCATAGTTGCATAAGAGAAAATGCTTCGGTTCATGTACAGGTAATCCTCACCAACTATAATTGGAATTGGCAACTCTGTTTCTAAATGAAGTGGCTTAAATTCACAATTTCAAGGACCAGTCTTAAGTCTCGTTATTCAGCATGGTTGTAACTTTGAATGGTTCCTGAACAAGATGTTAAGTGAGGACTAGCTGTAATGTATTTTAAAATATATGTAATGTTGCCATGGCCCCATCGACTTTTGGAGGTCAGCCTCCATTATGGAAGTCAAAGAAAACTGGATCTCACTTGATAAAAATCTGAATAAGCAAGGAAAATAGTACAAGAGCACCATCATGTGGCTAAGTATCAAGATTGCTTTTCATTTATCTGATCACAAGGAGCAAAACAAAATGTAAATCGTAGTCATGCATAATTATTTTTAATGTAGTAATGAATATGTTTATGGTTTTTTCATACCATAGAATAAGTAAAAAACGAATTGGAGATTTCAAGGGCTGCATTGGAAAATGGGCTTAGTCTCTGATCGACAATGCAAACCCAAATATTCTTTATATAAGCCCTTTTAAGTTAAAACGTCATCTGCCTAAGACTTCCAAATGAAAGCCATATTACGAAAATGTTTAATTCCTTGTTTTTCCTGGACTTTAATGAATTTGGGGGGGGGGGTTTTAGAAATTTTACTGATCACACACAGCTCTGTTATAATCAAGAATTTGTTCTATGAGAATATTTTTTTCTTTCTTAATACAGAATATAAATGTAGTTTTATACATAATTGAAGGAAATACGACTACTTATAATCTTAACCATGGTCAGAAAAGCATGAATTGAACTGTTCCATTGCAACAAGTTCTATTGATGAGATTCAAATGGCATCTCTAGATTAATTCCTATCTAATTTAGTCCATATCAAGGAGGAAATAAAACTTCTGATAACTTTTCACTTAAAACCTAAACTTCCTATGCATTATGAATCTTTTGACAGGTCATATTTGAGATATTTTCAGTAGCAATACCTTGACTGGACTTGGAATTTAAGCAGAGTCAGACCAAGTTAGCACTTGGACAGGAGTTCATCAGGAAATACCAGGACTAGAGGCTAAATTGGGAGGTTGGGAATCACATTGGAAGAAGATAATGTCAAACCACATTATTATGAACATGAAAATTGTGGATACATCCATGAAGTCACTATGTGTCAAGCTTGACTCTAGGGCCGTGATGGTGAACCTATGGCACACGTGCCACAGGTGGCACGCAGAGCCCTTTCTGCCGGCACGCCAGCTGTTGCCCCAGCCCAGGTCCACCGCACATGCGCACACCTCCAATCGGCCAGCTGGTCTTCTGGTCTCTGCTGCGCATGAACGGAGGCAGGGCCTTCCCCGATCTCTGCAGGTTCTACCCTCTGCAGATGCCTCTCCGTGGCAGGAAAGCAGGAGAAAGCTAGCACTTGATGGGGGGAGAAACTGCAAAGATCTGAGGAGGCACAGAAGGCAAGAGGCACTCAATGGGGGGAGGAACTTTGGAGATCATGGAAGGCAAGAGGAAGCTAGGATTCCATGGGGGAGAAATGTTGGAGATCGTGGAAGGCAGGAAAAAGCTAGGATTCCATGGGGGAGAAACGTTGGAGTTCATGGAAGGCGTGAGAAAGCTAGGATTCCATGGGGGAGGAACTTTGGAGATCGTGGAAATTATAATGTAACTCACCATAGGCAGTTCACACTAGTCTAAACCCTTGAGGTTCATTGGTATAAGTGGCATCCTCAGAAAAAAAACCTCAGATTTGTGAAATAGATATCTGAATCAGCATACAATGAAAAAAACAGAAAAATGGAGCTCATGATTGGTGTTGGAGATACAAATATCTCTCTAAATTTTGTTACTGTTACAATTGTTCACCTGTTATTTCAATTTCTGTAAAATAAAATCATTTGCAATTTTCCATGTTGATCCAGTTTTGTATGCAGGTATCCCAGTTAAATGCAAATTCTGTACACAATGTTTTTTCTAATTATGGAGCTATGTATGTACTACTTTTATTTATTTACAATATACACACTTTTAAAAAGGAAGAATGACCCCAGCACCCCTTTAAATTGCAATTACCCCAATGTAGATTTGAGATAGAGGTCCCCTCAAATAATCATTCTGGTTAGTTAGGACCCAAACATAGTCCAATAATTGTTACTGGACACAAAATGACAAATACTAGGAAACAACTGGCTATCCCTGGGAAGATTGTCACATTTAAACCTATGGAAGATTTCTTCTGCATCTCTATTCAGTACAGAGATTGAGAGGAAGTTATCTAGGCTCATGTATCAGCCAGACGAAACCTAGATGTAGGTGAATGGTCTTGCCGCATAAGAAATACAATAATACAGATTATCATTTATGTATTTATGCAATAAATTATATAGCTGCATATCTCATCAAAGGTGACTGGGCAATGAACAAAAGCAGATTTAAAGGATATGGGGCTATGAAAGCAATATATATGAAATTTTAAAGACAGTTAATGGCCTGAGATACATGTATCACCTGTCCCCAGAGTTTTCTACATGGAAATGCCTCAGTCTTTCTGCATACAAAACCTATATGCTACCACTGCATTACAGCCTTATTTGTACATATGAAAGCCAACACCATCTGAAGTGTGGCAGCTGTGATTTCACATTTTTGTGTATACAGTATTACAATTTTATTAAATTTCTTTGATGTCTGTCTCACTAATATAGCAACTCTGGTTGGCTTACAATATAATAAAAAGTTAAAAAGTGCTAAAAACAATTAAATTTTGAATAAAAAGATTAAGAAGTTAAGAATCAAGATGATGGGCAGCTTGGGAGGTGAGGCACCCCCCATTGTAGCAGGCCTTTTCAGGGCCAAGGCCAAATGGCAGAGCCAAGTTTTTAAGCTCTTCCAAAGGCCAGGAGCATGGGAGAAAATCTCATCTCTGACAGGAGAATATTCCAGAGGATGGGGATCACAGCAAACAAGGCTCTTATCCTGGACCCCGCCACCTGGAATTCTTTGGCTGACAGAAACTGAAGCGTTAGTCCCATCAGGGTAAGGTAGTTCCTCAGATACCCTCAGATGAATGAAAATTTAATTGTGTCCTCTAAATTTCTTGTAGTCTTCTCAATTTTGTATCTGGAAATTTGAGTGTATGCAGTTCACTTCAAAGGTGTCAAGATGGCAGTTGTGACAATGTGATCATACATAAAAAATGGCAAGAATTTGATCACCCCATCATGGCTGCCATTTTAATTCTTTTCACCATAACCTCTGGAGATCCCTGTTTTACTCTTTTCTTCCAGTTACTGAAAATGCCACAAACAGTTTATTCCAGCGTGATGCTCTTCTAAAATTTCAAATGTGTAGTGTGTGATGTCACATATCTTTATTCCAATAATCCATAAGGAATGTTTGGGCTCAGAACTCTGGACAGAAGAACAGCTTGAAATCCAGCACTGCCTCAGTGGTTCTAGGTATTTGTTAAGAGTATTGTAAGCCAAAGAACCCTTTGACAGTATTTGTGGATCACAAAATTGATGAATCTGAAATAGGCAGCACTCACTCTTGTTCTTTATGAATCAATGCATCATATTATCAACTCACAAACCTAAAATGCAGCTGTTATTCACAATAACATCATTCTTTTATTTAATTAATAAGGAGAATATGTAACTGATTTTTTTTTAAAAAAGTAATTTATTCAAAAATTCCCCTCATAAAATTGGGACCTCTACCCAGGGTTACCCCTTGCCACTTCCCGACTCTATTTCTGGTTAAAAATCCTGAGTTTAAGCAGGATGACCTCATGACCTGGCTGCCCCCAGGGGTCATGGATGAAAGCAGATGGAAGTTTCACAGCCAGGTCCCTTGTGTGTGAGCCTTTTGTTCAGGGGGGTGGGATGCAATTGTCGGGGACAGTGCTGAATTGTTCAGAAGCATTGCTCTACCCATCATAATTTCCCACACCCATTTCATCCTTCATAGGAAGGAGGCAGCTTTTCTATCCATGCTCAGAAAGAAATTCCCTCTCTGTCCATGTAATTATAAACCATTTATCAAACTTGGAGTAGTTACCCATGCTTCCAAGAA